TTAATTTAGACCAGTAATCTCAAAACTCAAAACACAGTGAGGTACTTACTGTGCGTTCACACCGGACGCAAATAGCCCATCAAATTCAAGTCTACCGCATCTAGTTTGACGCTTGACCACTTTGTGTTAATTTGTACGTCATGAGTGAAACTGACGTGCGTAAAAACAAAAGTTTGAAGCGAAATTTACGCACATCACGCGCGTCAGAATCGAAACCCGTTGGCGGCCATCTTTTTTATGTTGATCGAGCATTCATCGAGAGAGTCACTGCCCTGTATTTGCTCTGGAGAGCAGATCACTGGCGTGGGGATCATCGTCGCCGTATTTGTGTCCACCGGACCCTTCGGAGGCGAACCATTTGGCGAGTTTCACCATTTGCTCGCTCCAGGAGCTGCGTCTGGATGACGGCCACTGTCAGCAGTACTTCTGCCTGTCCCGCGCCCAGTTTGATGACCTGTTGTCCCGCATCGGAGCGAGGATCACCCTCGCCCTCATCCATCTAATCTAATCTCACATCCAGACACGAACTTATGCACATATATGTTGGTGGTCTTTACATCATAATAATATTTCATATAATCTAGATATGGAATAAATAACATTCAATACAAAATGAACCCGTCTCGTATATTGAAATAAACTTTTAAGTGATAAAATATTTGCTTTGTTGTGCATTAGAACCACACCAGGCATTTAGTCATATTACAAAATAATTTATTGAAGCATCCAGATACTTCACCACGTGAGCAAGCAGCAGGCTCCTGATTGGTTAACGTGGCGCAAATTGACGCCAAAGTTCAGATTTTTCAACTCGGAAGGCAGACGCGAATTCGTGTCAAACGCATGAATGCACAAATAGCACTAACTAAAGCATTCGACCTTAACGCGGCAGACGCTCCATTCGCGCAAACTTGACGCGTGAATAAGGCGTATTCGCGTCTGCCACGCTCTACGCCTCATTCGCGCCACAGGAATTTTTTACGTGTGCAACACGTCTTTGTAATGACTTAACATTGAAATCATTCGCGCCTGACGTGCTATTTGCGTCCGGTTTGAACGCACCATTAGACAGCTGGTATGATCTAATGTAGCATTGTCATCCACAAGCTCAAGCAAAACCTGGAAGAATTGGCTCACAATTGATTCCCAAAAGATTCTGCAGTTTGTCATGTTGCTATATAATACTCAAAAACATAATACAAATGCCGTCTAGGTAGGGCAGCTCAAGACGTTTTTGTAACCGAGGAAGTGCGTGTTTTTGAAAACTCTCCACTTCAAAAATAACATTTCAAAATCAGCACATTGAAGGTGTTTTCCTCAAATGAGGACTGCACTATGGTACTTGAGCACCTTCATGAGAATATGAGGAAGATTTCAGTCTACTCACAGAGGACTCGCTGTCCCGAATAAGAAAGTCTCCCTCTGTGCCCCTCAGGTTGAGTGCCACTTCTGCCTGATGGCGCGTCACCTTCCCGTAGTACCACTGCTTGCCAGCGAAGCGTCCACTGGATGAAGGCTCAATGTAGTCACAGTCAGGTGTGGGCGGCCCTGCTATGTTGGCCGAGTTGTGCGACTCCTGCAGAACATTCACGTAGTTTTTCGGCACAAGTCCCATCTGCCCGTCGGATTTGCGACACTTCCACCACTCGGGGTCATTTTCTGGCTTCTCCACAACATCCATAACCTCACCCTTCTCAAAGTTCAGCTCTTCGTCGTTGCCCGAGCTGAACGGGTAGAGTGCCTGTACTGTGTGCAACACTCGGTTGCCGTTCACACTATGAACAACAGCAGCCAGCTTCTCCGACAAGCCAGCAGAGTCGTTGCTCGCCGATCCATCTGCATCTTCCGTCACGTAGTTGGATGGGAACCACCCCGAACGGCCATTGTAGCTCCCCCTCCACCAGCCATCGCTGCACTTCTCCATGACGATGACCCTTGTGCCCTTAACCAACGACAACTCATCTTCCCGTTCGGCCGTGTAGCTGAATTTGACGAGCGCAGGAAGGTTTAGGTCATACAGACGTTCGCTGTTGTCTGGATTGAAGTCAGAGTCCGAGTTGGAGGCTGTTTCACGCATGCCTGTTTTCCTTTTCACCTTACCGATCCCTGCATACATACAGAAAAGAAGTACAATTAAGGGTTTTGCGAAATATACAACAGGTGTCGTCTTTGCACTCAACTACTTGCACTTGGGTGTTAACAACAATGCCACAAGAAATTGGCAATACGACAAAGTTGAACAGAGTGCAAACAAAAGCAATGCAGACACTCCCAGAGGAACTGCAATGAATCACCAAATCTATTTAAATTTCTAGAAAATCAAAACTTTTTCAATGAGCTTGTTTCTGCATTCTGGGATTGCCTTCTCCACGAAGAATTCCTGACAATGCTTTAAAAAGTAGTCAAAACAAGGTACAAGACTCTGATTCCAGACTTGGTTTCACACTGACCAGGTTCTAAATCAGTTATTTTGTATCCTGAGCAAAAACTCATGCATTAGCTTACTGACATTGACTGCACAACTGTCTGCACCACTTTTGACAAAAGGTATTTTCAATGGACAATCTTGATTGGAAATTAAAAATGTGTTGAGACAATCTCTTCAGGGGGTAATTTCATCACCCCGCACCCTGTACTCATTCCATTCTTGTTGAAATTGTCTGTGAAACCAAAGAGCATTGTATTTTGATACAGGCACCAACAGGCAGGGCATGAGTGAAAGGAGAACTTGTCCAAACACATGTTACAGTGCAGTGAGGCTTGTGTTTTCACACTGACAGGGGTACAGTAGCAATCAGCTCCCGCCTGCTTGAGCAATGTGTCCTCTCTTAGTAAACACAGGCACTGGTCCAGTTGAGAAACCACCCAATCACAACCAACTAATCTTGTTCTCGCCACTCAAAAATCATATGACAAAGCTGTGCATCATTGCCTTCCTACTTGTACATTATTTAATTATGTCCATGTGAACAGGCATGTAAGAGCAACAGAACAGTTTCGCAAACCAAAACATGTGCTTGCTTCATGACAACGCAAACAAAAATTTCCACCTGCTTCACTCATTCGCAAAACACAGCTGTGCGGTTTAGCTCTATTATTCAGAGAAAAGTACAATTAACTGCAAAGAGACACTGGAATGAAAACCACACCCATCGTCCTCCTCCATGGGGAGGGAATGAGTCAGGGAGTGTTGGGTTAGGTTCATGGATACCGTTGAGGATTCCAGCTTGTCCGACCACATTAGGTCAAGCCAAGTGGGTCGGTCTGCAGGATTAATGGAGAATATCTGACCCTGAAGCCTTTCGACCATGTTGGCGGGTTTGGCAAAGGTTTGTGAATAGTGTTACCATACAGGAATGTCCACTTGGCAGTGAAGTTTGTACCGGCCCAGTCTAAAGGCCCAAGGACAGATAAACACATGTTCTCTTTAGATACCTTGCAAAAATGTCCTGCAGCAACAAAATTATTGTATTAGATGAAAATACCATGGTATTACAATAGGCTAGTTTTACAGCATGTATTCTAAGGTGGGTTACTGGTCTTTGCTCAAAGTACCACAGGCCAGACAATTCTTACCAGGAGATAAGCATTTGCCCAACTAAGTCCACCACATAACCTTAGGCTGTTTAACGTTTTTAAAATGGATATCTCCAAATAGCCATGATATCATTAACATGGTAATCAGCCAGGAAAAAAAAAACAGGATTGATTTTGCTATCAATCTATCTGGGAAGGAGGCAAACTCAGGCTTTACCATTTGAACTTCATAACCCTGTGGGCAATACTTAGCAGCTACGATTTTTCAAAACTTGACAACCGAGAAACAGCTGAAACCCTGGATCTACTCTTAACTAATCTAAAAGGAAATCACCCAATTTACTTTATGCTTACTCAGAGGTTAAAGGTTAACTGAGTGAGAACATAAAGCTTTTCCAAGAGCACCCTTTGCTCGGAGCAAGATGCTTATCAAAGCTCAAGGCCAGAGGAATTTATTCTGTGCTTGCGGATGCCTCTACTGCCTGATTTGCATTACAAATACATGAAATCTCAAACCAAGATATTTGCCTCTGGCCCCTAAGCTATGTCCGATTGAGGGGGGTGGACATTTGCATGGTCAATGTGAGCAGGAAGTAAACTTGAAGTGGTAGAGCAATAGTAACTGGAGCATTTAGTACTCCATGCGTGGACGTGTTGGGGCATGTAACCACGGGTGTGTAAAACTTCTGACAGCACAAGGTCAACTCATGATCATCCACAAATTCAAAAGACACTTCTTAAAGGGATAGTTAATTCAAAAATAAAGATCATAAGAATAAAAACCAGATTGTTACGATGCATAAAGGAATCATTCAGAAAGGTTTTGTGAACCAGATCAATTAATTCATTGAAAAGATCGAGAGTAAATAAAAGGTTTGAGCATTGTGCTAGTTTACAATAATAATATCATCATCAAATATCTGGGTCTCTTCATCACACAAACATTTATGAATTCACAAGACTTGAAATATAGTGAAAAAGTTGTTTGGACTCTATTTATAGGACTTTTCTGTTCAATAGAAGAATATTAGAGGGGTTTAGAAAGACTTTTCAATTTGAGTGATCTAATTCATTAAGGAAAATAGAAAATTGTGCAAATCTGGACTCAAATACAGGCTAAAATATACAAGTAGTATGAAAGCAAATTTCAAGTTTTCACTTGTTAAAAAGAGAAACTGATCTTGGGTGTGTGAACGTTCAGGCCAGTGGTGGTAGTTTTTTTCTCAAGCATAATATGATTGATGTTGCGTCACGAGACGTAAGGTAATCCACCCATTTGGATTAGTCAGTCTACATGGTCTCTTAGGAGCTGAGTTTACCAAGTTTTTTTTAAATCTCTTATCTAACACTCAAACAATAACCAACCACATCAACATAAACAGGCTGCATCACACATGGGTCACCATGATTTTGCCCAGACAGACATGTTCCATATCTTGTTGATCCTGGAACAACATTCCTGTTTAAAAGAATGTAGTCCTAACCCTATCCCTACCATAACTTGATAGGAAAATGATAGGTGAACACAAGCACCTAACCCTGCTTGTAAGCCTAAACTTGACGGAAACTGTAAACTTGTCCATCAAATCTGATTGGTCGATTGGAATGCTGTTCCAAGAACATGTTGTACTAGATGTAATCTTGCCACCATAATGCCAGGAGGCTTCGATAATCAGATCTGATAACCAAGGCTCTGATAATCTGGTCTCTATGGTCTTCCTACGAGTCCGCACTTTTGTGACGTAGCGCCACTTTGACTGTCGGGACGAAGTCTGCTTTGGAGCTCGTATCAGTGCAAAAGTGTGTAGAGGGCGCGTATCGACTGCAAAGAGGGCGTCGCAAGCACCCTTCTGAGATCTAAAATAACAACTTGTCATCCTAACTGTGCGTTGACACCAGACGCGAATAGCGCATCAAATTCACGTCTACGCGTCTAGTTATACGCTTGAACACTTTGAGTCCATTCGCGCATCAAGAGAGAAATTGGCACGCGTAAAAACAAAAGTTTGAAGCGAAATTTACACACGTCAGAATCAAAATCCATTGGCGGCCATATTTTTTTATGTTGATCGAGCATTCATCGAGAGTCATCACTCTGTATTTGCTCAGGAGAGCAGAACAGCGGCGTGGGGATCATCGTCGCCGTATTTCTGTCCACCGGACCCTTTGGAAGCGAACCGTTTGACGATTTTCACCATTTGCTCGCTCCAGGAGCTTTTAGTGGTACTTCCGCCTGTCCCACGCCCAGTTTGATGATCTGTTGTCCCGCATCGGAGCGAAGATCACCCTCATCCACCTAATCTGTCATTTATTTTTGTTTTGATGATAAATAGAGCCAGCCTCTAAAAGTTATTAACCTGTCCTGTGATTTTTTTCTCTCTCACGTCCAGGACATGAACGTATGCACACGTATGTTGTTGGTTGTCTTTACGTTATAATAATATTTCATATAATCTAGATATGGAATAAATAATATTTAATACAAAATGAACCCGTCTCGTATATTGAATTAAAGTTTTAAATGATAAAATATGTGCTTTGTTGTGCATTAGAACCTCACCAGGCATTTAGTCATATTACAAAATAATTTATTGAAGCATCCAGATACTTAACCAAGTGAGCAAGCAGCAGGCTCCTGATTGGTTAACGCAGCGCAAATTGACGCCAAAGTTCAGATTTTTCAACTCGGGCGGCAGGCACGAATTCTCGTCAAACGCGTGAACACACAAATAGCACTAACTAAATAAATCATTTGCGCTTCACGCGCCAGACGCTCAGTTCGCGCAACATATTCGCAACGCGCTCTTCGCCTAATTCGCGCCGCAGGAATTTCTACGCGCGTAACGCGTCTTTGTACTGACTTAACATTGAAATCACTGAGGTCTCATGGACTTAACGGACGGATGGACGCACGCACGCGGCAGCCATTGTAAGTCCACAAGACCGAAAGTGCATATGAAGTGTGCCATTTGGGACAGGGCCTATGTGTCCATGGATGTGCTGCTAATAGAACAAAACACAATGAATGGAGCGATGGTGTGTATCCTGAATACAGGATAAGGAATGTTCCTGGATTCCTACAGAGGATCCTCAGGAAGGAAGCTGCACACTTTGCATGGCCATAAGTCAATCGATGCGTTTTTATTTTCCTCTCTAAAATTACTTGTAAATCAAGTTTAAGCTAAATCTGCCATCTGCAACTAACTGGCAAACATTTCAACTTGTAAAAACCCAGCGGAGTATGATTCATATACAGCTACTATTCCACCCGCCCAACAGACTACATCCACTTCCCTTCCCTTCTATCCTCTGAACGCAACTTGGATTAGTTGTTTCCTCTGCTGAGTTCATCCTATTGTTCTCCAATATAGGGCTGAACTCCATTTAAAAGCAACCCACAGCCATTAAAAGGTGGATTTTTAGATTTACAACTGCAACTATGCAAAGTAAATAAATGCTACGAAAGTGTGGAAAACAAACATACATAAACTGTGGTAGTACCATAGAAAACAGATTGTATCAGATGTTAAATATTTAAATATATACCCTTGCACTGAATCATACATATTCATACACCATTGTGTTTACATGTACTGTAACAGCTGCCAACAAAAATTGTGCAAGACAGAGAGATACTGTGTAAATAATCACAAAAGATTCTTATGGCAATGTACCCAAGAGTATGAATGAGGGAGATACAAGCAAAACTGTGAAAACAGGAAAGAAAACCACTTTATACTTCTAATCTAAAATGCTGGACTCGAAGCCAAGCGGAAAACGAGACATTCTTTCAACTCAAAAAAAAGACGAGGCATCAAAAGGCCTCCAACGACAGTGACTGTACACCACAGATCTCAAGGCTGCGTGTGTGCATATCACACACTCGATCGATGCACAAATAAAGCACAAACTACCTGCAAGGAACAGACCTCCAAAATCGTTTTCATTTCCCTAAATGAAGCACACACATATGCTCAAAACTTAGCTATTGCACAGACCGATCTAGAAATGAACAACGAAAATATAATATAAATATTTAATCCCAAAATACAATATATAATAATAGATTTTAGCTAACCTTTAAATGGTCTTCATTTTCTGTTACGACCCCAACAATTGATTGAGTAATTGTACAAAAAAAAAACAAAAAAAAAAAACATTTTAAATCATACAATTAATATATCATTTTTTTTTGTTTACTTCTCATCTATTCATTAATGCTGTGTTTTTGGTTAATTCCTCAACTACACGATTAGCTTGCATATGAAATATTATTTTTTTTTTATGATACATTGCATTTTTGCTCTAGTACTAGGCTTTCATTTCTGTGTAAAAATTTTCAGATTTATGCCAGATTTTTATTTATTTAATTATTTATTTTTTTGACACATGAAGAAAATATATTTTGTTTTTTTCACATTTCCCATTCATTTCAATGTTGGGTCATATTGACCCCGAAGACCAGAAGTGTAAACATTTTTTTTACATACCTTCAGAACAACCGAATCAAGCACAGTTTTTTTGTTTTTTTTACTTTTACTTTTTTATTTAAGTTTTTTTATTAAGTAAGTCGATTGGGGTCGTATAGACCCCATGACCCGATTGAGGGCTAATAAAATACGTTTTTCTTTTTTCGCACTGGGAAAAAATAAACTTAACATTGTAAAACACAGCTTGAGATCATTTTGTCTACATAAATCTAAAATCCATAATTTAAGATGGTATGCGTCACACGATGTTGTATTAAATTTATAGATTTGCTAAGAGTTTAACCTCATTTAAAATGCGTTTATACGTACACTTTATGGTTCATGTGGTTTTCAATTACTGAAGTGAAAATAATTTTTTCCAGTATATGCAAATAACTTGATTTTGGGGTGAAACTTTGTGACATTCCCCCCTACTGACGCTCAGGTACTCTGATGACGAGCTGGTAAACAGCCTCCGTCACACATCTGTGCTTGTTTGGCTAGCGCGGGTCTGTCGAGAGAGAGAAAGAGGGAGTCAAACGGGGGTCACGGCTCATCCACGTATGCAAAACCAGCCGAGCCTGATGTGTGTGTTTTAGTCAGGAACACTCCAGAAAGCCATCAGCACTTCCTGCCCTCGTCGTGTGCGAGAGAGGCACTCGCATTTCAATTCAAGCTCGTGCGTTTGTCCTTCTCACAAAGCGACATTATCTTGTGGTGCTTTCCATCAGAGAGGAAGAGTTGACTGGCTTTAGAAAAAAGCGTCGGAGTGGGAAGTGGAGGAAAACAGACGGATGGGCTGACGCTGCAGTGAATCAACAGCCCGGTTTCCTCACTTCCTCCCTCACAGGCTCCAAAGATCTGAGGAGAATCTGTCTCAAATTAAACCACTTCCGCTACGAGCGAAGGCTGAACCACAGGAAAAGAGAGAAGGGGTGAGGTGGAGTCGAAAAACTGCCCAAAGCCAAGACCACCTCACAGGGAGTTTGAAGTAATGGATTTAAGGGACAAAAATCAAACTCGCGTCACTTTCTTTCTTCAACACAAAAGGAGATATTTTGAAGACATTCCAAGCTGCTCTTTCACATGCAACATTTGTGTTTACACACATTAAAATACGCCACAAGAAGACACGTCTAGGTTCATGGCAGGTTTAGCGCCAAATACACTCTGGGTTGTTTTTTTGTGCTTGGGTCAAATGGGACAAACCCAGCCATTGGGTTAAACCTTTTAATTACATTTTTTACCCAACATTTGGGTTTATCCATATTTGACCCGAAGTCGAGTTAGAGTATAGGAACTACGGCTGTCAATTTTTACATTTCGATTTGACATACTCTCTCTCTGCCTGCCAACACTCACATTTTCAATGCGATTCATTAACCAAACAAAAACACAAAAAGTTAAAAAATTACATTTTTTTTTTCCCAAAATGTATTTTGGCCATGATAAGTGTAGTGAAAATCTATAATCATGACAGCCCTATCCTCTAAACACTGTTTATACTATAGTTGCATGTCATTAACTCTGCATTAAAGGGATAGTTCACAAAAAAATGAAAGTTGTGTCATCATTTACTCACTCAACGAAGAATGTGGTTTACCAGACAGTTCACTACTATGAAAATCAATGGCTACCTTCAACTGTTTGATTATCCATATTCTTTGAAATACGTTCTTTTGTGTTCATTAGAAGAAATAATCTCATACAGGTTTGGAACAACTAATTATTTTTTGGGTGAACTATGCCTTTAAGGGGTTGTCACACAGATCGTTATTTTTCTACAGTATCCCCTTGTGCTGCTCGTCCATTGTTTTGATGTAAACGTGTGCTAGACGGATGTGTTTGACGGTTGCGCTTGTGTCTTGTGTCCTTTGCAGTGTCTCATGCATGACATGTTGGCTAAAAACAAAGTTTCTAGACCTGGCGTTTTGTTCTGCTTCACTTCACAGCTTAAACCGATATCAACAATCTGGCTGAAACCACTAAGCCAATAATCATTTTCATGTTATGGCTAATCCTAACTTTAACAATACAAACTGAAATCAATTGTTCAATGGAATTGAGACATCACAGCATTATAAATGTACACAATGAAAGTATATATATTAGGAGCTTTTATATAAATGAATGTTTTAAAGATTAACTTTAAGCGAGTGCACTGCAAAAAAATTATTTTCGTACTACCGCAAGTATTTTTGTCTTGTTCCCAGTCCAAATATCTAAAAATTCTCAAATCAAGATGCATTTATTAAAATAGTAAATGCCATAAGATATTATATCTTGTTTTAGGCACAAACGAAAAAAAAAACGATAGATAGATAGATAGATAGATAGATAGATAGATAGATAGATAGATAGATAGATAGATAGATAGATAGATAGATAGGAAACAAGACAAAAATACTAAGATCAACATTTTTTGCTGTGCGTTACATGAAGGCAAAGGTCATTTAAATGTAAAAATAGAGGATACGAGCATGCATTATTTTCAATATCCAACACTGTTTGATATACACATTCAAAAGTTTAGGGTCAGTAAGATATTTTTTTACATATATACACACTTTTTTTGAATACTTTAAATACTTTACAATATTGATAATAATAAGAAATGTTTCCTATACACACAATCAGCATATTTACACATATTTATTTTCGCAACATTTTCGTTTTACTGTTTTTATCAATTAAAAGGTAGACTTTTTCCAAAAACATTTTTACAACCCAAACTTTTAAACAACACGGTACAACCAACAGAGACTGACACTAATAAAAATCTCTAATAATAGCCGATAACCAATATGGTATGGGTAATACAATGCAAAAAATAACATTGCTTTAACTCGGTTTTGAAGACCTTATACAAGATTCAACTAATTCTTTAAGTCAGTTTAATGTAATTTAAGTTGAATTGACTTAAACATCCAAGTTGATTTTACTTAAAGGCAGCAACGTTTTTTTTTTTTTTACAGTGTATGTGTTTGATTACTAAATACAAAAAAAATGCAACCTATCAATCCCTTTGAGATACTTATTTCTCAAGCACAATTACATACCCAAACACTTCAAACACGACCACATCATGTCCCACGATCCTCCGGCATCGACGACCCAGTGTTAAAAAGCCTAGACGTGCACTAAACTGCACAGCGGCAGAAAGAGGAACACAAGGGGAGTCAGTGAACCCATGACTGATCCAGCGGCTGCAGAAAGGAAGTGTGTATTCCAGCGACAGCAGTATTTCTCCCAGAAGAGATATGAGCTTCATCAATCCGCTCCACATGACACAATGCTTTCAGTGTTTCGCCGGAGAGCTGACGTCGCCCAACTACGGCCCACTGGCACGAGGAAACCCCCACGACAGCAGACCCTCGACACTCAAACTGCAGAAAAACATCATCGTGCTGGACCAACAAGAACCAGTACGCTTCAAAGTCACGCTAAACCTGATTAAAGAGGATCGGCTGGGAAAGAAGATTCCGGTTGAGTGTAACAGGAGAGTTTAAGTGCACAAAGAGGAGTGGAGGTTCTTTACACTGTTGATTGCAGTGTGTGTGTGTGTGTGAAGTGCAATTACAGGCTTTTCAGAGAACTGCCCGCCCAGCTGCTCGACTAACACACAGAGAACGAGGGAAAAAAATGAGACATTTCCTAACAAACTTGTGTTCGCTCATAGTTGCTTTCCAATGGCATATAAACAGAAAAAAAAAATAGTAAATAAAGTGTAAGTGTGTGTGTGTGTGTGTGTGTGAGTGGGGGTTACTGACAAACTCACACCCAGCTCAGCTCAGAGGGGGAAAAGCCTTTCAAACTTCCCTAATCCTAAGAATGTCTCAATGCAAACTCAAACACAAGCAATACGTCCAAAAGCACAACTTTCAGCATTGTCAACTTTCTAGACCGGTGATATAATAAAGAGGAGAGAAAAGGTGGCAGAACTCACGGAAGAAGTGTTTGAAGAGGTTAGCCATATCCATTTTGGGCTATCCCGGCAACTGGGCTCTTCCCTCTGCAGCTGTGCTGCTATTCCCTGTGAAACACCCTCCCGCCAGTGAACAACTCACTGCCTACACCACAGCCAGCCGGCAGGACCATGTGACCAGGGTCAACCAATCAGAACCGATTCCTCCTTTAGGAGGACAAGTCTGTCCCTGCACCCACACACATAGCTCACGCATGGCGCATATGGGGACTGGTAAGTTTGTTTCTAAAAAAAAAATAAAAAAATATATATATATTCTATAATGTTATTTTTTAAATAATGTTAATGTTCTATAATGTAATTATATTTTTTAGATATAATGTGTGTTATGACACAATAACACACCCATATTATGTGTATATATAACGTGTGTATTATGTATGCGTGTATAATATGTATGCACATACATACATAATATACACACACACACACACACACATATATATATATATATATATATATATATTTTTTTTTCATACTCATTGACATAAGCAAGTTTTCACAGAAAGAGTCATGAACCGGTCTGTTCACACTAAATCAAGAACGTAGCATGTTTGGACATGTTATTAATGTAGTATTCTTTGAAGTACCATGAAAATAATAAGTAAAATGGTATAAACATCTGATACCAGCATTTAAAATGAAAAATGTTGCATAAACATTAAGATCAACTCTTTCCCCTCTTGCCACTCGGCCAGCATCAGCTTTCTGGATCATTTCCACAAAACTTTCATAGCCCCCAGATTTTTTTGTTGTTGTATGAATATGAACATATTGTATATCACAAAGAAAGAACAGAGCCTAATCTTTTAAACAAAACAAAAATCTTCATGCATTGTTTTTTTTTATCAGCACTTGGGTAGGCCTGCACAATATATCGTTTCAGCATTGACATCGCAATGTCTGCATCCGCGAGGGTCACATGGTAGGATGTAGGATGTCAAGAAAGAAGGGATTGTAGTTGATCCGTATGGGTGATTAACTGCAAAGTTGATCATTTAAAAGCATTTTTCTACCTGAATACTGTTTTAATTTGTTTCTTTGTTATTTTCTATGCAGATTCACTCTCTTACAAAATCACCCCAATCGTTCTAGAATGATTCATTCTTTCTAAATAGAGCTATTTAAGTCATCAAGTGAAATTGTATTTATATAGCAATACACAATCGCCGAAAAAACCTAAATATTGCAAATTATATTTTTTTCTAATATCTTACAGCCCTAAATGTGGGAAAGTTTCATTAAAACAAAGCAACATTTTGCACAAGAAGCTGAGAAAGAATTGTGGTTTTTGTGAGACTTTATGGTGTGCAAGCAGATGCAATCTGGCAGGAAATCTGAGCACTGCACAAGGCTGGAGAGGAAGAGCACCCAAAGGTGAGGACATGTGCAGAACATAAAACACAACAACAGATAAACAACCTCAACACCAAGAGAAAGTCTCAAGAAAAGAGACTGTGTGAACGAGGATTTTCAAAACGGCCGCAAAGACAGTGGTGGAGAGATTGCCATCAGCGCACACAGAGCTTCCACTGTACACCTCGAGGCAGTGTTGTAGTACTCGAGACTCGGACTCGGTCTCGAGACCATATTTTAATGGTCTTGGTCTTGTCATGGACTCATGTGCATTTGGACTCGGAATTGACTCGTGATCCAACATTTTTTTTTAGGACTCGGAATTATTCCCGTGTCCACTCGAGTTCAATTCAAAATATTTTTCATGATTATTAATGTATGTTAATTAAATATTTCTTTAAATTGATTGACACGCCCAGTGATTGGTGATTTTCTAGTGCGCAACTGCGCATGACAAATTGTAATAAAATTATTTTTAACACCACCTACTATGTGGCCTTTTTACCCTAAACTGATCATATTTTTTAAACTCTAAGTAAATTCAGTGAAAATAAAGGATTTCTCTAAGTAAATAAAAGTAAATTTTACCGTAAACTCGACCGTCTCTGGTCTCGGACTCGACTCTCTATGGACTCGGTCTTGACTCGGACTCGACTCTCTCTGGTCTCGGTTTCGACTCGGACTCGAGTGAGGTGGTCTCGACTACAACACTGCCTCGAGGCCAGACACAAACCCCACCAGCACAGATCCAGCTCCAGCCAACACCACACTAACACTTTAACGCCACACCGGGTTAAACCCCTACTCCTGGGTACCCAGCTCCAGCACAACACCCAGTTGCCAGATATTGCTGTTTTTCGTAGCAATATCTGGCAACATTTTACTGTCGGCGTTAATACAAAAAAAAGTGTTTCTCAACTAGCAATCTATTCAGCCAGTTTATTTGTGTTTGATCTGTGTGAATTACAGAAATATAAGACTTTGCTAGACCTACTTTTATTCTACATTTTTTTGCACAAAACTCTCCAGAAAGTGCCATTTAATGGTTTATTTAAAAAAAAAAAAAAAAAAAAATTGAGAATACCCCACACATAATAAAATCCAAATTTAACCCCTGTATATACATATATATATATATATATATATATATATTTTTTTTATGCCAAATTCCTTTAAATATATATATATATATATATATATTTTATGCCAAATTCCTTTAAAAAAAGGGACGCTGCTACATGTCCATGGGGAAATGTGGGTCCAATAGGCTAACCATGATTATAGCACGATTCATTACACAACACCCCGGGACCTCACTAATTTTCAGACCCTGGTTACGGCCTTGCTCCTGAAGTGTGTTTGTGAGGGTCCAGGAGGTCTTCAGGTGTGGTAGACATGTGCTCTAGTCTGGACAGGAACATGATGATGAGCTAATCTTTCAATCTCCGTTTCTCTTTGTCTAGCTTATCTCCTGACACTACGCCTCACATTCCAGTGTCGCAAACACTTCCCTCATGAACATCTCCAATCCTCGGCACGCAAGAGATTTCCTTAATTCACCCTTTCTGTTTTCTAAATGTGTGTTGCTGATCATATTGTAAGTGATTCATCAGTGTATACATTTAATTTTCAACTTTTAAACTCATCATTTTTTTATTAAAGGGCACCTTTTATGGAAAATTCACTTTTACATGGTGTTTGAACATAAATGTGTGTTGACAGTCTAAAGTTGTTGTCGTCGTAGGATGTCTGTGTATATAATTTAATCCTTGTTTGTATAGTGTGTAACCACACGTTTATAAATATATATATTTTTAAAGATATTGTATTAAAAACTGCATATATGTTGTTCTGTAAGTTAGACATCTTCTCACATTTGTCACAGAAGCACCTGTATGACAAGTAAACATGACGCAACAGGTCCCTCACATAAATGTAAATTCTCTTGTACGTAGTAAACTTTATCACAGAATGTGCATGTAGTTTCAAAAAATTGCACCAGCGTTGGTGTTTGTGTGTGTCTGTGTTGCACATCCATAATTGCAAAGGGGACGCGATTACAACTCTATAAGTACATAAATGTATCAAATAACCATACCGAGACGTACTGGTCCATTCTCATTTGCGTTTATTCTGCCGGAGTCTCTTCGTCATCTGGGTCTGATCAGAGACTATTTATATATTCCGATTCAAACGTACGCTGATTGACATTTAAAACAGCGGTTTCTCTCACTCTATCAGTACCGACTGCCATAGGTATCAAGTTACGCCCTCATCCAAACGCAGGGCGGGGATATGCAGCTCATTTGCATTTAAGGTGGTATACACCAAAACAGTTCATTTTTAAACAGGCCCCAAAAATGACATTTTCAAATGGTTATAATAAATTAAAGGTAGTGTAGGTCAGAATTATATATAAAAAAAAAATCCAAATTTGTTTAAACTTTCTATATACATCAATGCATATTTAAAATCTAAGTACTCTGATGAAAAGAGTATAAAAATCGAGTGACTCTAGACCGTTTAATCTGCACTAAACACAGCTCATTATTTCGAACCGGGACGAAACAACGGATTGGCTTAGGCGACTGTCACTCTCTCACAACCATGGCAACCACCCTTTTGCCACACAGGACCTGCCCACTTGCGCGTATCCAGATCGTAACTGTCCGCATGCCCTTGTTTGAGCTTGAAGATGCAAAACTCGACGCAGGTCCTCTTGTCTAAAAAGTGCTCCTTGCCCTGCACTTCGACTACCCCGTCCTCGGCCTCTACTTCCTCGGACCCTAATAGCACGGCCTCTTCCACGACCTCCTCTGCTTCGTCCTCGACCACCACGGATCTGTCCTCGAGCTGACAATGCGATACTTGCTTTCTTATACTGTCTATGGGTAACTTACTTGTCTTGGGAGTGTAGTCCTCATCAGAATCAACAATGCTTTCATCAAACAAACTCTTACATGCAGTCAGAACACCATATATATGTTATGAATCTTACACAAAATTCATCTTCATCACAGTGTAAATGATGGCAATGGAAAAACGTGTATCACGCAACCTGTTTTTAGCTTTGCCTTATAGATAACTAGCTCGTTAGCGAAATAATAAATATAAATTGTAAACTTTACCAATAGATTGATAGTGAGTACTAAAATACATCTTATTTGTTTATCTTCATAATGATAGTTAGATTTTTTTATTTACATGCGT